ACGGGCGTGGATAGTGGTGGTGGTGACATGGCCACGACGGCAGCAACGTTGTAAAATAAATAAGTTTCATATCGAAAATTACAGCTTGGATATATGACTCTTCCTCCTCGCTTATTATTACAACAAATTGATATGAAGGAGAGAGTTAGGTTAAGACACCGATTACAATCATATTTAGATAGATCCGGTGTGCATTGCACAAGAACGTATAGAGATTCAAGCCACGTATAAGTAAAATTTTTGGCTGCGAACTTTTTTGAACCTGATGGCGCACTTGCAGCTACATTAGCAGCATCAGATATAGTATCCACCAGTCGCTTGTTAAATTGTACATCAACAGTTATATTTTGTCTATTCCACATGATAAACGCAAACTTTTCGCTCAGGCTGGAGAAGATGTTACTGTTTGAGTAGCGCAGGAAGCACTGTTCATACCGTATGATAGCCTCCTTCTGGATTGGACAACGTTGGACCACATCGTTTCTTGCAAGGTTCACACATTCTTGGCAAACTTCGACACTAACATCGCCACGGCAAAGAAAGAGGCCATAGACCTCATAAACATCATGTCCTGTAGAGGCGTTATAGAATCCGTTAATGTCATTACGGGTTGCATTGGCGGCGAGCGAAGAGAGAAGGATATTTAAATTGGCTTGATACGGGCTGTTTCTTACGAAAGTGGTTGTGTTTGAGCATTTATGATCAAGGAAAAAGATCTCCTGTGCTTCCGTGAGGGCTGCAAAGGAAAGCAGGAAAATGGAGAGTTTTCCTTTCTTTTACATGGAGGATCTCCTTGCCGCCAGTTTATGGCAAAAGTCAAGTGAGAACTTTCATAGTCTGTTTCGTTAAGAAAGAGTTGCATGTTTCTAATTAATGTGAAACTCGAATTGTGGAATATTGAAATATGAAAAGAAGAATAAATGATGGTGATAATCACATGTCACGTTAATAAAACTTAACTAAACTAAGTCCCAACAGGGGATTTATTTTTTTCGTTGCAGCAGCCATCCTTTTATGAATTACTTCTTTCTTCTTTCTGTTGTTGGCTCGTTTTTTTTTTTTGGCAAAAGTCAAGTGAGAACTTTCATAGTGTGTTTCCTCAAGTGAAACTCGAACTGTGGACTATTGAAATATGAAAAGTAGAAATGCAGCAGCCATGCTTTTATAATATACTAAACATATTTTGAAAGACCACCATGCTTTTACGATGCAGCAGCCGTGCTTTTATGATTTTTTTTTTCTTCTTTCTGTTGTTGCCTTTTTTTCTCCTCTTCTTTTGCTATCTTAATATTAGCTAAAAGTAAATAAAATCTCGACTATTAACTAAAAAGAATCAATGATGGTGATTGAAGTAGATAAGGGACAAGGAGATGTCACCTCAATCAAACTTAACTAAGTTCTGATATACTGTAATATATTAACATCATTTTTCAAAAATTTGTTTCAATTTTTTAAGCATGACCAAATATTTCACTTAGAAATCCGTTTAAAAAGAAAGGTTTCTTTTTTATGTATGATATTTTTAAGTAATAGGAGCCATATCATATGATATTTTTGCTGAATGATACAGAAACAAAATGCTTTAACTAGTGTAGATATCTACTAATGAGTGTCTAGCTCATTAGAACTCTCCTACAAAAAGAGAGAATAAAGAGAGAATAAGGATTATCAATTTTTAATGTTATTCAATTAACATCACTATTTTCTTGGCATAATTATATTTATTAATTTTGTATATAAATAAATAATGATGAACACATGGAACATGTACTCCAAGTCTTAGAAGCTGACCATAAAAGTTTTAAATCAAATTTATAGTTTTTCAAGGTAAGAAATGAATTTGAATATTTTTAAATATATCCACGTTAAAATGAGAAATTAATTGGAGCATTGCAGACTTAATAAACTAGTTTATATCAACTATAATTTGAGATTGAAAATGAAAAAAAAATATATTTTTTTGTAATTCTTCAAAAGTTATTTTATATTAAGTAGTATTATTAATACTTATATAGTATACATGCACTTTGATTTTGTAAGAATTATTGGAAATGATAAAATTATAATCCAATTAATTTTAAGTTATTTTTTAACATGAAAAATTGAATAATAAAAGACATTACATCATCTTTAACAACTAAAAAAGCAAAAATCTTTCATCGTGATTTATCAACCATGACTATTCTAGATACTTTAAATCAAGATAATAGAAGATTAAATTATTAGTTTGTTTAAAAATAAATTATTATTCAACATATAATGTTTCTTGGTTAATTATATTTCAATTGTAGATTTAATAAATATAAATAAAATAAAAAATGCTTGTGATAATAACAATATATAGTAGCATGATGATGTTTCGATAGACATTAATGAGATTAACTTAATCTTATTGATATTTGCTTTAAATTTTGCTCTTATAAGTATTGAGGAATTCAATGCTTATATTTAATATGTTAGAAAAAATATAGTTATTTCAATGAAATCTTTTACTTTACTATTCTTTTTTCTATTCTACTAGTGTTAAGTATTAATATTTCTAAAACAATTTGCTTGAGTATGTTAATTTTTATATTTTAATGCAACTTGGAGTTTGGATTTTGTTATCTTATATATTTTATATTAAATTATTTATTTTTAAAACAACTTGCTATTTCAATATATCTATCTTTAATATTATCTTTATTTTAAAATAAGTATGTTAAAGGTTTGTTTATTTTAAAACTAAATGTACCTTCTAATATGTTAATTAATTATTCTAGTATATATGTTAATGTATGTTAATGTGATATTTTCTTGTATTTTAGCTAAATTTTATGTCAAAAAAATATATTAATGCTCATCTTAATTTTTAATCCAGATTAATCCACTTAATTTATTACCCGGTTTTTTTATTGAGTCAACCACCTAATCAAGTTTAATAACAACGCTTCATACTATTAAGTCCATCAACGTGCTGGCCAATTCAAGTTTTGCAACTGCGTTATTGATGCCTGGACAAAGAAGTCTCTGATGCTGAATTTGGGTTCCTTGGGCGTAATCTTAGTCACGAGCAAATGACAATGAGGCCTCGTAGGCCCATAATTTGGAGCAGCAATAATTAGAAACTTATGGTTCAAACATTACTATATACATATATGAAAGAGGATTTGTTTGTAAGACAATAGTTCTTATAGTGCGAAGAAAAACATATCAAGAAGATATGTTTATATCTGTCTGTTGCCTTTTGGAAATGTCTGTGTTTGTCAAGAAAAACAGTCCAAGAAAAGGGAAAATAGAAATTACAACTTAATTTACAGTCACCGTGGTGATAAAACTGAAATGGTTAATTCATTGACAGAACAAACTTTCTGGTTTGAGGATTGAGCTTCAACGGCAACAAGTCGCCCGAGAGAAAATGCTGGTCGTTTAGGGATAGGGAGTGTTATGGTATCACTTGCCGACATAACAAGCACATATGACATTGTTGGTTTATTTGCTGGATCCTCTTGCACGCACAGCAGCCCAATGTGGATGCGTCTCAGCACCTCAGTTGCCACGCCAGATTTCTCTAGCATTGGGTCCATCAATTCCAGTCCTTGACCATCCGACCACTGTTTCCATGCCTGAAAAGTTGTGAGACTTCTTGAATTGAGATAACAAAAATCATTGTTAGTAATGCTCTTTTGGATAAAAAGATAGGATTTGTAACCTACAAAAGTGAGAAGGCTTTCGCCTTCTTCCGAAAGATGGAAGGCAACGTTTCCTTTCCCACTGATTATCTCTAACAGTAATACTCCAAAACTGAAAACATCTGATTTTACAGAAAAAAGGTCCTGCCATAGCATGCTCTGAGGCCATGCATCAACTGTTTTGAATCGACACTGGAGGAAATAAATTGCTTTATATGAATGAAAGGTTAGCAAAATTCTTTTGCATCATATCAATCGGTCAAGAATGCACCATTGTGAACCTTTGCCACCTCGCTGTAAAAATAATATTTATCATATTTGATATAAAATTATTCTTTAAATTGATATTAAAACAGTGATGATGAAAAATTCTTGAGTTCTAATCTCATTATATAAAGTAGTTATAGATCTGTGTGAGTAATTTTTTTTTGAAAAAATAATTATTTAATAGTTTAAATTAAAATTTTATCTTCAAAAGAAAGAATAAAGAAAAGAATAAGAAAATCCATTTGTTCCAAACAACTATACAATTGAAAACAACAACACTGTGGGAATGGGGATGTAGTAATACGTACTACGTTCCGACAATTCTATTCGTGCTAGCCTCGCTTTGATTTCCACCAAAAATCCTAACCATTTCAAAGTCTGATATCTTTGGATTCATCTCATAATCAAGCAAAATGTTGCTTGTTTTGAGATCCCTGTGAATAATTCTAAGACGAGAATCTTCATGAAGATACAAGAGCCCCCGTGCAATTCCTTTAATAATACTCAAGCGTCTTTGCCAGTCAAGCAGGACTCCATTTCTGGAACCTGAGTAGCATCAACATAAAAATCAAATCAGTTACAATTTCTTGTCTTTGTTATACAGTTCAAATATTCAGGTGTTTCAGGTTTAGGGGTTAAACCAAAAAGAAAGACATCAAGGCTTTTGTTGGGCATATACTCAGATGAGAATTTTGGTGTGAATCACAGTACATTGTAACTAACTCTAAAAGACATGGAAAAAAATTGTGGATGGTCCACTGTTCCACAGACCTTTTTAGCCACGTTATCATACTCCCACCAACTTTTTTCTGTTGATTATAGTAGCTACTGCACGACGACGACGACCATGTAAGAACTTCAATCCCTAATCTCAAGCGATTTGATCTTTATAAATTGTTAAGATATTTATTATTGTGTGTATATTTTTTGGATTGCTTTGGCAATGTGAATTTGAATTGTTGTGTAATTTGAATTGAGATGATTTGATTGGATAATATTGTGAGTTTATTCTTAGAGTTATGATTAGCAATTGAACATTAAATCTTGATTTATTGATTATACTTGAGTTTATGTTGATTTATTTAAATTAGTATAAGATTTGAATGTAGTTTGTAAAATTAATAATACTTGTGTTGATTTTTGGTGTTATTTGATTTTGAGTTGGTGAATGATTAATAAATAGTAAATATTTTTCACATCTTTATTTTTTGTGTTTTTGCCAAACATGATTTATTTTAACTTTAATTAATTTTTAGATTTTTGAACTATTAATTTTGGATCTTTTATACTATTTTTACTCTTTTATATTCAATATTTAAAATTGTAAACTTACAAGCAAGATTTGTTTATATATTAAATAAATCAATTTTAAAAAATAGAATAACAAAATAAATCCTTCTTAAAAAAAAAAGATTTAGTTTTTTAAATTGTGTATGCAAATTATAAGATAGTCTTCATGCAAATTTTTGTAAAGTAAAAATATTTTCTTTAGTTTTTCAAGAAAAATCAATAAATGAATTTTACAACTAGTTTATAAATATCTATTAGAACTTGGTCTAGATTTCAACCACAAAAAAAAAATCTGAATTTTTTTATTTTATTATAAGGATTTACGGACTCATATATAAAATGTCTTTTCAATATTAAAAGGGAAAATTAAGCATATAATATATAAATAAAATAACCCTTGACTTTTAATTTTTGAAAATTATAAACTTGAATTACTAGAAAATTAATAAATACAAACGAAAATATTAACAGAATGTTTCCGTCAATAAATTGTAGAGGAATTTTACCAACGTAATTATTCTCTTGATATATACTGAGAGAATTATAAAGAGAAAAAAATTTAAAAAAAACTAAAAAGTAAGATGACAAGTTATTTATACTGACAAATTTAATTTCATTGATAAAATCATTAATAAATTATTCACATATCTCTTATATTGTTCATCATGTCAATTATCAACATAATATTTTGTTGGTATTTTTTAGAGAATTCTAGAATTGCTTACTTTTCAATTATATTATTAATTACTGTTCTTTACAAATAAAATCACTGATAGATTGAAAAGTTACCAGTGTTATTTATAGGTTTTTGAAATTATTAAATTGAATATTTAAATTAAATATTACAAACAAAATCACTTATGGATTGAAAGTCATCGGTGATATTTTAATGATATTTGAAAATATTTTATTAAATTGAAAATTTAAATTAAATATTACAGATGAAATCACCAACAGAATGTTTAAAAATATTAATATTATTATTCATCCGTAAAACCGTCAGTAAAATACCTAATTAAAAAAACTAAAATCCCTTACTTCACAACAAACAAGCCTCTTTTTCCCTCCTCTTCTTCTTCTTATGTAAAAAACATCAACATTCCTTTCTTTCTCTTCTCTTCTCTTCTCCTCCACAATCAAGTATGTCTTCTCCTCTTTTCTTCTTGTCTTTTCTCGACTTTTTTAAATTAACATATTTTATGAAAAAAAAATTATCTTTTAAGTTTCACTCGCAACTATATTAAAATAATATTTTTCTTTTTTTTGTGTTTTTTATCATTATATTTGTTCTTTTATTTTTTTTCTTAATAATTGTATAAATATTGTTGTATGATTTTTTTTTTCAAGTAAGATCAATTTTTAGTTGATTTATTTATAGGATTTTTAAGTCGATTTTAATTATTTAATTATATTTCTAGTTTTGTTATACATATTTTTTTAAAATATTTTAAATAATCATCAATAGAATTGCATATGGTATTTTTGTCGATTAATACTGACAAAATGAAGCGGGTAAAAGTTTTTTTAGCTTGATCTTCTTGTTAGTAAATCCGTCGGTAATAATTTTTTTTTTATTATTGATAGACTCTCTGATAGATAAAAAAAAAATATCAATAAAAGATTTATTGACAGAGCATTTCCATCTATAATCCTGTTGGTAAATTAATTACCAATGGAATGATAGTATAAATACCAATAAACAATTATGTCAATAATTATAAAAATTATATAATGAACTGTAAAAAGTGTTAATAACCAATTAAAAAAATATAAAAGGAGGGTTATAGGAGAAAAACTACATTTGAAAAAAAAAAAACTAGGTCTTGTCCGAGTTCAGCCTGATTGCTCGTGGTCAAGGGTCAACTAGGTTTTATCGGATTGCCCTAACCAGTCTTTTAACAAACTTGTACCGGTCCAGCCACCGAATCCTGAGTTGACCTATCAAGCCGATCTGGGTTTGATAATAGTGACTATGACTAGTTGATGTTCAGAAGACCTTTAAATTAGGCCTAGAAGATATTTTTGTTGTTATAATGATTTTTCTAGTTAGTTTTGAATTTTAATTACATTTCCTACTCAAGTTTGGAGATTTTTAGTTTGGTTGAATAAATGATGTGTTAGTTTTTAATAAAGAACATAATTGATGTATTAGTTTTATCATTAGATTATTGAATTACTATTTTTTTCAGAAAATATCATAATTTCTTCCCCTTATTTCTTTGTAGTTTAAGGTTATAATCTTAGGGTTTAATAACCCTAGCTTTTTTTTAATCCATAATTATAACTTGCATCAAGTTTATCTTTATAATTTTATTTTACTATGACATGATTATCATGATTAGATATTGAAAAAAATAAAATGATGATAATAAAAAAAATTATTTAGAATTATTTATTTATGACCCATTGAGAGTTGGTTAAAAATCTTGGTTAATAAATTAATTATTATATTTGAAAAAACGTTTTGGATGAAATTATTACGCCAATGTAGGGATTAAATTTTTCTAGCTAGCTCATAATTTGGCAAATTAATCAATATCCGATCCATGTCGAATGAATTCACATTAAAAAGATAAAGATAACTACAAAGAAAATTACATAACTTACGAAACTTTTACAAACCAAGTGAAATATACAGGGCATCTCTTATTTTTAGAAGTGGCCAAGATGGACCCATCTCGGCCAACAGCAACATAACAATTGGCATGCATTCGATGGCGCTTACTATCCCACGTGGACAGCTTAAATCGAATCATGGCCGTTACATCTAATCGAAAAACAACCGCTCCACGCGCACGATCTTTCCTAAATACCCTCCACCGGTCACTATTCACATCCAGGGTGGCCCCTTTCAACACATTGGACAAAATAGTTGTGTTTTTGGGCTCTTGGTAAAATGAGTCCACTAAGGGTGTAGACCCAATTTCTCGATCTCTATAGAAAACAAAGGCTTCCACCGAATCATAATAATACCCAACTGCTCGGTTTGCGTTCCGGGCTGTGACATTGAAACTTATCTCAGCATTTTCGAACCCATCAGGTTGATCCAAACCTGGAATAAAAAAATTCGAGATAAGAATCCGAGGACGATGTGGGCGTAAACTGAGCCATGTTATGAATACAGCAATACCACCAATGAATAGAAGGGTTAAAAATATGCCACATATAATCTCTGAGATCCGAATAAGGCTGCCGCGGACTCGATTAACATAGTAGCTGGCAGAATGGTGGCGTTTGAAGGGTTTGGGTTCCCGTTGATGGTGAGTGGGTAACTGTTGGGAGGTGGACATATTCACTTGGCAAGAAAACGAAGGGGGCTTCGAAAAACTTTTGATGGATGGAAGTGTTTGAGGAGTTGGGTTTTGTAGCTTAGCTAGGAATGTGGAAATGGAAGTTAAGGAATGTAAGTATTTGTCTTCGGGAAGGAAAGAATACATTCTTGTCATTGTTTGTTCCATTGGTTTTCGTTTTCTATGTTAACATTACATGGAATTGTAAGAGCTTTATTACTTGATTGTGTCATGTTAGTGTCTTAAAAGTTTGCTTTGCTAGGTGATAATTAATTTCGTGATCGATAAGAGTGAAATGGTAAAAATCTAAGAAGACTCCGAGATTACCAAGTATAAAACCAAAGAATCCCTTGGTTAAATATATAAAAAAGAAAAGAAAAGAAAGTAGTCGATATGTATGCATTTGGGATAAGTAATCATGTGGTTCAAGCAGATTTATTTGATAGTCCAAAGGGAGTACAAAATGTTGTGGCATAAACTAGTCTTTGGTTTTGTACAAGAACAAGGTATAAAAGTTCCTCTCCAGGTCTTTTAAGGCATGTGGTAAATGAAAAGGCTGCAAAGGATACCTACATATAGTATAAAGGTTCCCCTCCAGGTCATGCCACGCACACAGTGTATGAAATGGATAACTACAGACGCGGTCCTCCAACTTTTTCTAGTTGAATTGCTTCCATTGAGGTATCTCACTTTAAAAATTTCTAACAAAATATCATACATGATTTTTTCTCAAGGAAATTTGGTTGATTTATAAGGATAAAATCGGCTAAAATTTTATTTATCTTATGTCAGCCATAACAAAACAAAAATTATGATTTAAAAAAAAAAGATTTATTATCATTTTTGTTGATTTCTAGGATAAAAACCCATTTTGAGGTTTTTTTCATCATATATCCATCCATGATAAAGTTGAAAATACCGTTATTATTTTTCTAAATTGATTTTATTATCATTTTTAGATTGTTTTTGAAGGATAAAAATTGCTCAAGTTTTTTTTTTTGGGTTCTATGTAAAACAAATATTTACAGGTTGAATGTGATAATAGGATAATAGAATCTTCTAAGGATAAATCTTCTTGAGGTGTTTTTTATGCTTTGTCCACTTATAATAATAAAATCAACATGCTAAATGTGATAAGTAATTTAACTTGGGTTCAAAATAGACCATCTTGGAGTAACTCAAAGTGAATATTATGAACTTTTCTATGTTTGAAGTGGCATGTTATCAGGTGTGTTGTATGTGTGAAGCGTCGCGGTGAAAATATTTATTCTTATATATTGTATCTATCAGACAAATATAAAAATACAAGGAATTCTTGTTTTTTTTATAAGTGGAAAGTAGAAATGCAAGTCGCCACCTACTATTTTGAATACTAGGAATCCTAAGTGGTCTCAAAGATCAAGTATGGGTATTGGTTGCGTACATAAAATGTATTTATTGTACCTGAAATACATCATATTTAAGGTAGACTGCATTGTTTGAGTGTTTGATAAAATCTAAGGTCTTGTTGTGTTTTCTAGTTGTCAGTTCGTTTATATTTTAAGAAAAGTCCTACTCGGTAAGAAAATTCTCATCAGGTAAAATCTAACAGTTTTAATTCCAACAAAAACATTTAATATCTGAAATACATCTTACGTATAAGGTCATAATCTTAGATACTAAAAGAAAATAAAATGATTTTTTTTAAAATTTTGAAATATTAGCCTAGTTCTCGTGATTTTAATAAACTAGTTATTAAAGCCAAAATGCATGCTAATACCCCTTTTTCTTAATTTTTTTTGTATAAAACTATGATTTTTTTAAATATTTGGTCGTATGCTTAAAAACAAAAATATTTTTTTTATTTTTTTAATATTTTAATGAAAATTGGATATTTTAATATTAAATTTGTATCTTTACAATATAAAAATACAAATCAATACTAAATAAAATTTAATATGAAAATTACATATTTTTTTAAAAAATAATTTTTAAATTTTTTTTATTCAGCCTAGGCCTAGCTCAATCCATGTGATAGAGTTAGACTCAGCGGACTCAGCCATGTCATTGGCACAACCTAGTGACCCAGCTGCGCATCCGAGAGCACTGATGAATTTCTTCACGCATGCATGAATAGCGCGAAGGTAATTAAATTACCTTCGCCCAGTAACTAAGCTTATTTGCAGGAATAAGAGAGGAGATGTATATACCTGGTGCATGAAGGTGACGATCTATATTTTTCAACCTTCCTCGTCTGCGTTCGTCTGTCCTTAGCTCAAGACTCCTATGTTTGTTCGTTCTTCTTCTGTTGGTGTTTCCTTCTGTCAACTGTTCGTTCTTCTCTTTAACTTCTTCCTCTGGTTTGCTCTCTGAAATGCTCGGTTTACAATGAAGTAGTTGCTGAAGCTTTGGTGCTGCTACTAAAGAAAAAAGTAGAGGGTGTCTCTAGATTCTCCTCTGCTCTTTTCCCCTGTACTCCCTCTCATTCTCTTGTGCTTTTTTTTTTTCCTCTTCTGTCCTCTCTGTGTTTTTCTCCTCTATTCCCTCACTTTCTCTCATATTCTCTTCCCTATGCTCTCTCTCTCTCTCTTTTCTTTTTTTTTTTTTTTTTTTTTTTTTTTTTTCTTTTTTTCCTGTCTGTCTCTCCTCTGGCCCGAGAATGCATGCGTTTCCGTGGTAATTGCAGGAAGATTGTAACTGCCAGTGTTCATTATGGTGGCGAGGGATATCAGCCATGGGACATGCTCCCCTGATTGAAGCCGCTCCACCGCTAACATCTCCACTGCCTTTTAGTGTCGAGACTGTTGCTGATGAAGAAGGTAATGAACAGCTGTCAAGGAAACGACACCATTTTAACATTCAAAATGAACATTTCTGATTTGGTCATTGTATTTTTTGAAATTTTGTAATCAAGCCCCCCTAATAAATTGTAATTAGTTTCCTTGATTTTAGTAATATTTACAAAATATTTCTTAGTTTTAGATTCATGCCATTTGACCCATAATTGATCATTAAATTTCCAATTCCTTTAATTTAGTCCCTTTTTCGGTCAATTTTAGCCCCTTTATTTATGCGTCTTTCCTGGTTTGGTCCTTGGTTTTCAGATTGTGTCAATCAAGTTCCTAATTAGCCATCAAACTTTAATAAATATGCAATTAAACCTCTAATTTAACTAAATCAACTCTTAAAAATTATAATTTGACCCTAAAACTTTAATTTTTCTAATAAAAGCTCAAATTGACTTAAAAATTAATTTTCCTTGCAATCAAACCCCTTATAAATTCAATTAAATCTTAGATAAAATTTAATTGATTTCATAAACATCTAATTTTAAATATATATTTTTTAAAATTAAATTTTATTTGTCAATAAGACTCTCATTAGTTCACGATATCCTGTCAAATTTCATTCTTTTTTTATTTTTGAACCTTCTCAACTAATTTTTTATTATTTTTCAGCATTCTAACATTCTTTTCTTGTTCCTATTATTTTTTTTTATTTTTTAAATATTTTTGATATATTTTTTTATTTTTTATTTTTTATGTGAAAATCTAAAAATAAGTAACAAAACGTTGGATCGGGTAACTCTCCTCCTTTTTTAAACCTTCATCGGCGTTGCAATGAACAACCATTTGTAACAAGAAAAACTAGTTTTCTCTATGTTCTTTGGGATTCTTGTTGTCGTTTTCGGGTTGCTTTTGGGTTGAGTATTTAGACTTGATAGCTACTAGTGTTGATGGTCAGTTGTGGGTCTATTTATGGGAAGAAAAGATAATTGGTTTGAGTCAGGTGAAGAGAGGGAGAGGCTAGCACTGGTTGCGTCGGTGGAGAAAATATCTCACTTCAGAGATCAATGATGGTTTATGATGTGCGGTGGCCACCAACTTGGAGAGCAATATAGGAGTTTTTTTATTCCTTTGGTTAGTGGCCGATTTGTAGAAAAGTCTAGGTTTTTCTTGGTTTTGGCGCCCGTGCCCCCCCAACCCCCCAAAAAATGTATTTTTTTAGAATTTTGGTGTTTTCGTAATTTTTTTTGTGAAAAATATGTTAAAGGCAAAGGTTATAAAATTGGTGATGACAATGTTAATCAGAGTTAACAAGGTAAATTCACACTATCAAAAAATTAATAATTAGAGAAGAAATATTTTTGTTAGTAAATTAGCAACAGATTTTACTTAAGGAAATATTCCTTTTGTATTTACTGAGAGAATTACAATTGAAAAAAATAATTAAAACAAAGTAAAAAAACAATGACATATTATTTTTACTAACAGAATTATCATAGATAAATTTATTGGTAAACTATGAACATTGTTCATCATGTTAATTACAAAAGGAATCACCAATAAAAATATTTATCACTTTATGCTTAATCTATTTATACCATTTTTTTTTGTTCTTATCTTTATTTTTTTTTGTGATTTTTTAACTTTACACTTTTTTTTTTGGGAGAAGTTAATGTACAAAGACTAAGGAAATAGTGTTTCATAGTAGCAATTACAACATTGTTTCATTCTTTTACTAAGTTAAAAACTAGTTTGAAATCTTATATATTTTTAATTGTTCATTCTTTTACTAAGTTAAAAACTAGTTTGAAATCTTATATATTTTTATTAATGCATATAATTATTACTATATTTTATTATATGTAAGTATTATACTTTTTACTTAATGTATAAAAAATTTAATAACACTTACACATTAATTCTTTTACCTTGAATAAAAAATTATTCAACCTGCAGCAAAACAAGTTAAATAGACGCATTAATTTTTTTATATTTATTTAGATAAATAATTATCGATATATTTAATTAAATATATGTATAAGCTTTCTCATTTATAATTAGAATTAAAAAAATATATTTCAAAAGCTTTTATATTTATTTTTTTGTCAAAAACAAATACTTGATTTATCAAATCATGAGTTAAGTAACTAGTTAAGAGCTTATTTAGGAACCCGATTCAAACCTTTAAAATTATTTTTTTTGCTTAAAATGTTTTTTTTTAATATTTTTAGATCATTTTAATATAATAATATAAGAAAAATTAAAATTAAAATATTATTTTAATATATTTTAAATAA